AACACGCCTGGCAGGACGGAATTCTGCGCCCCTGAGCAGGTGCTGCGCAGCGCATTTTTCAAGTAGTACCACTATAAGGCCCTCTCAGACTGCAACATACCGTCTCGGACGCCCATCGCCCCCGTCCGCCCACAAATGGACGACTGTACCGGATGCTCGTATTGTTTCATTTGTGAAGTAAAATGCGAAACAAAGGATTGACGGGTAATGCGACCATGTGCTGTTATGAGTACCCCGCCACATAGCGCCCTACTAGCATTTTAGGCCGAGTGGGAAAACATCGTGCTAACTGCCTTTGACGCCTTTAATCCCCCTGAAGCGAATCTCACGTCGGCCTGGCTCGAAAGTGCCTGATGGTAGCACCACATGCTCTGGCGGCAAAACACCTCCATATGTTAGATTTGTTAAAGACTTGTCTCCAAAGATTCCCTGAACCCAAATGCCTTGGCATAAAAACAACATAAAAACAACTGGTAAATGCGCTACGGGCTTTGGAGCCTAAACTACGTTCCTGACGACTCATGCTCCGTTGTTCTTTTCTGCAATTTTTAACATGCATTACTGAGCTCTTTATGAATAACTGCGAATCGCTTTTGTAGATGCAACGAACGTGGTGTGGAGAGCTTCTTGACATCGTTGGATCCCCGCCAATGGTTCAACGGCATCACCACACCTGTCGAGGCATTCACGATGGCCGTTGAGGTCGTCATTGTAATCTGTCTGATTTTGCTTTTCTTCGCTATCTGTACCAAATGCCTTATTCCTCTTTTACGATGTACTTTCTCAGTCAGTGAATCGCCAAAGAAATAGTCATTTCTAGCCTAGTGCATTCTTGTTTTCCTGCCTATCGTTGCCAAAACCCTCAGTACATACCGGTAATTTGCAAGCATTATTCAATTATAATACTAGCCAAGCTTGCTAAACATTCTACTGATCTTTCATTTCTGTACTTACTGAGTACAATTTCATTGTTTCTAGTTGCTTTCATGCTCTATGAGCAATCATCGTTGCCAAATTCCTATGTGATATATCATTCAAGTGCTTTGTACATTTTGTTCATCGATCCGGTTGCCTTGTTCAAATTGTTTATATATGTGAATAATTGTGATATGATTTTAATAAGAATTCAAAGCTCACACTGTGTTAATGAAAGGAGTAACCGCTGATCAAGGCTGAAAAATGAGGGCAGCATCAATCACTCGAATCCCGAGCAGATGTACGAGCACGTTTTGATCATGGGAAAAGGTCTCGTGAAATGGGGCCGCTACACTCAACGGGGACCCATAGTTCCCGAAAACAGGCCTGAAAACAAGCTAAAGATGCCGTTTTTATAGAGCTTTTCAATCAGTTCAGTGATGCTTCTTCAGACAGAATGTGCCACGAGAACCTTTTTCCAAAGAAGTGAGTGAGAACAAGAACATCGAAGAAAAGGAGGAATTCGGCTCGCAAGAGACTACCGGGTCCGCGTGGCAACGTATCGTTTTGTATGGAATATGCGCTTTTGAAAAAGGATTGAGGTTCAGTGGAAGACTACTGGAAGTCCTGAGTGGCACCCCAGTCTCACAGCACACGATGCAGCCGCAGAGGCAGAACCAGTGCCTCAACAGGAGCACACGATGCAGCCGCAGAGGCAGAACCACCACCATTTCTCCTCAATACTATAAGGAGGAGAGAATGGAGACCTCTCTGAAGGGAGTCGCTCCGACCGATTTCCTGATTCTGATGATGATTATGATTTTTCTGATGCCACTGGCGCACCCAAAAGGGTCACTTTCATCAAATTGATATA